CGGGGTGGGAGGGGGGGGGGGGTTGGAACCTTTGAATCATAATCAGAATAAATTTCCATGATTCCTTACATAGACAAAGTCATGGAATTTGTTATCAGACAGCGGGGGATGGGACGGCTGTCCCCGTTTGATAGCCCACCTCGCTCGTCCGATGCCATGACCGACAATATTAATTCGATTATTAATAACGTTATTTTTATTGCCAATCCCTCCATTTTGATCTAATAAAAGCCACCTACAGGCCTTCAAACTCTAGTAACTAGTACTTACCAACTTTGGTGACAAATTTTCTGACATTAGCTCGTTTGAGAGTGTTTTGGACACTGTCACTACATTATTAAATCTCGTATTGATGTTAGATCAGACAAAATCCCAACTTTTTCCCGGAGTACATACAACTACAAAAGAGCAAATCTCGAAGCACTGCGTCATCATTTTCAGCATATCCCCCTCAACACAGCACTTCTAGATCCAGAAATAGACAACAACTGGTCAAACTGGTGTAATCTTTTCCATCAATCTGTTGAACAATTTGTTCCAAAAATAAAATTTAAAAACTCCAAATCTGCTGCACCGTGGATAGATGGAGAGGTAATAGGTATGTCAAGAAGGAAAAAGAAATTTCGACGCAAAAATAAGAGAACGAACTCTGATATACATTGGGCCTCATATAGATTACTTTGAAATCGCTTAAAGAACATCTTAAATGCCAAGTACAACCGTTATGTTCAGAACATTGCTAGTACATTTAAACAGAATCCTAAACGTTTCTGGAGCTTTGTTAGGGCAAAAACTAAGTCCAAATCTCTACCTGCGACCTTACACGATGGTATCAAAACCGTCACATCATCTCTCGATAACTTAAGCGAAGATGTTTGGCGATTTCTTTCAGTCCATGTTTAACACTAGCAGAGATACAAATTTGCCTACAGTCACGGTTCAACATGTTCCCGAACTTTCTGATGTTAGTATATGTGTCGAAGAAGTAGAGCTAGTATGCTCCGCAACCTCAACACAAATAAAGCTGTCGGTCCTGACAATGTTTCGCCACTTATCCTGAAGGAATGCGCTACTGAGTTATCTTCTTCATTGTGCAGTTATCACTTCGCCTTGGAAAGCTTCCTTTTACATGGAAAGCATCACACGTTATTCCAATCCATAAAAAAGGAGATAAGATAAGACGTTAAAAATTATAGGCCTATCTCCTTACTAATTACTGTATCTAAGGTTTTTGAACGGTGCATTTATGACAAAATTTATCCTTACCTTGAACAGAAGATCTTTGCCAGACAGCATGGTTTTGTTAGAGGACGTTCAACTGCTAGCCAACTTACCGAGGTTATTAACGACTTTAGTTTAGTTCTTGATAAAAGGTCTGGTCAGACAGATGCAATTTACCTTGATTTTTCACGTGCCTTTGACATAAAATGATTAAAATGATTCACAAACTTCAGTCCTTTGGTGTAACTGGTAACTTAATCTGGTTTAATAATTATGTAACTAACCGAAGTCTGAAAGTTGTAATTGATGGTCAGTCTTCTCAATGGTTCCCAGTATCATCAGGTGTCCCACAAGGGTCGATACTTGGACCATTATTATTATTATTATTATTATTATTATTATTATTATTATTATTATTATTATTATTATTATATTGTTTATCTTATACATTAATGACATGCCTGATAACTTAAGCCGCAATAGCACTATTGCTCTTTATGCCGACGACGCCAAATGTTACAGAGAAATTCACAATATACATGACTGTCACTCACTCCGGACTGCATGATGTTGATATTTTGAGTGACATTTTAAATTTAACACTTCAAAATGTAAAATTATTTCTTTTTCAAGTTATTTAATTCCACCACAATTAATTCAGATAATCTATTCAATTCATTACCCACGCCGTGTTACCCCTGGATCTTCTGTTGGTACACTTTTGGATATTCGTCGCTGCAGGACAGAATTCTCATTTCAATCCTTTATCCCTCGTTCTACCAGAATTTGGAACATTTTACCCTGTGAAATTCGCAATTTTAATTTATCTGTTAGTTCGTTTAAAACTAAACTTTTAAACTATTTTAATAACTACAGTATTTCTTTAATAATTTTGATGTTGAAAATGTTTGTAGTTGATCTCTCTCGTATAGATGTTCCTTTTGTAGAGAGTAGTTGTTCTGTTTCTGTACTGTTTTGGGTTGACCAACCTGCATAGGTGTTTAGCACCTGTTTGGTCTTTCCTTGCCATGTTTTTTGTAAATTTGTTTGTTGTTTTGTGCTTGGCAGAAATTTGAATAAATAAAAAAAAAAAACAAGTACATAAAAACACACAAAAATGAAAGCAGCTTGTTTCCATAGGGGTTCTCGAAATATAAACATTAAAAAAAAAAATGTTTTTATTAAATGTTCTTTAAGTAAATATTTGAATGTGTTAATCTTTGAGTCCTTAGTTTAATCATTGCTGTCTCAGGTGAAGGCCTAAACTCCAAGTTACTATAGTGCACCATCTTTTTAAAGGAATGTTTGATTCATTTGTTTTTGTGCATCAGGTCTATGTGCTCATTTCGTAATGATTGCTTCTAATAGAAAATGTTTTCTACCTGTTAGCACACATGCTGTAATGAAAAATAGAGACAGTTTTGCTTTTCATCCACAAAGAAAGGGTGCTATATAAATCACAGAATAAAATAAATGAAATAAATAATACAGTACTTGTTTTTCTATATTTTGGTATTTAGCTAAAACAATATTAACAAATATTTTGGCTTAGAAAATTGAGTGTAGGCCTACTTGAACATAAGATTTGTAACTAAGAAAATTGATAATTTATAACTGATTAAATTGCAGAGGAAATAAGATATTTGAATCTCCAAGATTTATGACTGTTAACCAAGCCACCTCTCAACTTGTTGAAATTATACAAAAACGAAGAGATGCCGAGAAAGACTTAGGTAAGATTTAAATTTTATATGAAGGGTAAACTGCAAAAATCTGTTATGACAGAATATACCTCAACGATTCCAATGATGATGCTACATTATGGAAGGTATATCAAGCATTAACAATATCATCATCAGCATCATCATCTTTTATTTAAGTCAGCATTTTTCCTCTTACAAAGGGTTAATGTTGACACTTTGTGTCATCATTTCGCTATTGGAGATTGTTTTTTACAGTGAGCCTGCCCTGGAATACCAATGACCTATTACCCTAGGGGAAAGGTGGATTCATTCGTGCTTTAACAGGTCCTACTTTTATTCCTGTCGGAGGTCCACACAGCCTCACCAGAGTTGCCCCAGGTGTGTGCGCCGGTTTAGAGCTTATTTCCAGTTGGCCTTTCTGGTAGTGAATGGGCAATACAGTAACAATGGGAGACAATCCTCTTCTCTTTTCAAAGAATGTACTGCGTTCTTTAACATGCACATGGGCCATATTACAGATGGGACCAACAGCTTAAATCTCTTTTGAATGACGGTGCACATTTTTATACTTGCATTTCAGCCCTCCAGCAGAAACACAAACAGAGCAGCAGGTAGAATTGAATCACTAAAGGTTAACAATTGATCGCCATGGTTCAGCGCACACACAACTATCAGTTTTTAATAGCTGATGGTTTTCAGCCATGAGTGCTGTTTGTGGCATACTGTATACTGTACACTATTAAGTATACAGTATTGATAAATTTTACATTAAAATAATGTTGATCTATTTTTCCCAGCTTTTACAGAAGACTCGATATGTGTTGGTGTAGCCAGAGTCGGTCTGACACTCAGCAAATTGTGTCAGGTATGCTCCAAGACATGACAGTGGCAGACCTTGGAGGACCTTTACACTCACTGGTTATTGCTGGTGATATGCATCCAATTGAACTGGAGATGTTGAGGGAATTCGCTGTTGATAAGGTCTATTTGATAAGCTTTTGGAAGACGCAAGGTAGTTCACAGGAAGAAGCAACTTACTTTAAAGAAGGAATAAAGTGTAACATAATGCAGAGTGGGGACAGTACATGTGTTTGATAGTAGGCGACCTCTTTTCATGCAGTCTTTCCTCACAGTCTTCATCGGCAGAGTTATATGATATGCATCACCTGGCCTATCTGTCTTTTACAACATACACATAAATTTAGAAGGAATGCACAAATGAAAGAAATTTAATTAGGCAGCAGACTTTATCCCCGGTTTTCAAACTTCTTCAGACTGGGCTTCATTTTTAGCCACTCAAAATGTGGTTCCAAAGGTGCCTATTAGAGGATACACCAACAGTACCTCAGCGTCACTGTGATTGAGACTGAAATGAGGTAATTTTGAGGATGTTGATTGATAAATCTGCCACCTCTTAAAAAATTAAATATCAATTCCTTATGTGGGATATATGTTTTGTCTATAAGTTTTAAGAAATATATATATATACTGTGTAATTAAAGTTTAAAATAACAGCATTTATGTCTTGTTTCTTGTTTTTATGTGAATCCACACAAACAAGTCTTCGCTAATATTCCCAAATTGCAGAATATTAAAAAAAGCAATGGAAATGCATTCTCAGCTAAGACAGACCTACAAGGTACGCACTCTTTTAGACCCATCATCAAAAAATAATACTTTGTGGTCTACCTGATGACTATTCTTGACAGTGACAGTCCAGTCCCCGAGTTACTCTGGATAATAAAGACTTAGCCAGTGAGCTGTCAAGCCAGCTTTTGGAGAGGCACCCAAATAAATATAGCAATGACTTAAGCTGGAAACTCACTGCGTTGTACGCTGGTCACGACTGTCGTACGACAAGCTCAACTCTGCTCCCTAGTGTGTCATTCAAAAAAGGATCCGCTTTGTGCTCTCCATAAAATCTTGTCAGCCGATGACCATATGCTGCAGTGAGTGCCCAGCTTTAAGCCTAGTGGTTTTAATATGGGGCCATGCTGTCCATTTCCGGAGGCCGACACCCCACCCCTGCCTATGGAGCTAAGCCTTTTAACTTTTTTTATTGGCTAATCCTCTACTAGATCAATTGGCATGCTCATATCCAGAAGTGTGTAATGGATGCATATGCTTCGTTTACATTCGTCATTACCTTGGGCTAACTTCATATTTATGCATACATTATAGCAACTTATATAGCACTTATTCCATGAAGATCGGTGCGCTCTTTGCTTTTCGTTTTTTATATTTTTCCAACAGACTAAAGGCTTCAGGCCCAATAGCTAATTACTGTACAACATTTTGAACACGAATTAGCATTATTGTCCAGGGGTCCCAAGTCAACAGAAATCCTGCACTCCCGCAAGCAAGAAAAATCTCCAGCAAAATCACGATACTTGCATGTTTTGACTACTGTATTATCAATTGTCTACAGTAGAGTGCAGGACAGTGCTGCTCAGTCGCCTAATCTGGTGGTAGCCACTGTGTGTGCGCTGAACCATGGAGGTATGTAGTTCAATTCCTATCGCTGCCTCTCCTTGTGTTTCTGCTGGAGGGCTGAAATAAAAATTACAATTCGGATGAGACATTCAAGCCGTTGGTCCTGTGTGCATTTATGGCCCATGTGCACTTTAAAGAATGCAGTACAATCTTTGGAAAAGAGTTGGGGATTATCTTCTGGTGTACTGCCCAATCACCACCAGAGGGACCCCACTGGAAATAAGTCTTCTAGATTTTCGTGGGCTGTCCTTGGTGTTTTCATCGAATAAATCCAATCCAATCCATGGTTATCACCATGCACAGTAAAATAAAATTAGATGTGTTCTTTCAACTTGGGACCCCTGATTGTCAATCTTGATGTTTTATATGTTTGTGAATATTTTATGAAACACTAATTATTTAACACCGTTGCCATAATGTCATCCTATTTCTTTCAAAGAAAGTTTATTCAATTAGTTTATGATAAAATTCTGTGGTATGTTCAGTTTTACAATAGTAAGCAAGCACAAACAATTAGTACACAGAAATTAGTACATAGATAATACAGCAAAAATATTGTGCTAAATAAAAATCATAATTGTAAAGGGTAGAGAAAGTATATTACTGATTTTCAATTCATATTCTACCAATCACACACATGGGCTTCCACATACTGTAATTCTCTATCATGTGACCTCTCGCAGCTTGTAAGTACAGTAGAGTGCACCCTCCAATTCGAGACTCCGAGACCCCTCTATTCGAGACTACTTTTCCAAAGACCCAAATGACAATCTTCAACCTTAAAACACAAAGCTAGCCCTCTAATTGGAGACCAGCCCCGAGACCACCAAAAATGTTCAGGTCCCAAAGGTGGTCTCGAATTGGAGAGTGAACTTAGTTTGAATTATAAATACAGAAGAAATATTGATATAGACATTTTGTGACATCTCTAAGACATTGGTATTTTGAATAAATAATTAAGATAAGAAAACAAACAGTAGTCTACAGTAATAAACAAAGCCAAAAATAGTTTAAAAAATATATTTACATGAACTAAATAAGAAATACATTACATTTTATATCATTTACAAAATTATCTTGAACAAGATGTGTATTAATATATTTACTTCATCTTAAAGAACACACAGAGTAAGGGGTATGAGCAGTGGTGGTGCCAGCTTCTGAAATCTGGGAGGGAGAGCAAGGTACAATTTGGGGG